AAGAGCGGGCAGAGGTAAGAAGGTGAATCAGCGCTGGACGCGCGAGTAGACAGCGGTTAGGCAGAATGAGGAGGGGTGAATGCGCGCAGCACTACCAAATTCAGGCTGCCACACGTTTTTCATTATCCTTGTACCGTTTTCGCTACTGATTTGTGTAACGTTCTCTTTTTCTAGTTGGTTTATTTTTTAATATCGATAATCAACTAGATTTTCCCAACCACTTCCCGGTGTATCCATAAACGTTTTCGTATCATCTACGTTCCCCCAAAGTTGGAAGCCGCTTGGGTTGACTAGAGTAAACTTAACTCCCATTCTATACGAGGCCATGGCCTCTTCTTCCCCATGTCAGGATAGATCTTCGACTCAGAATTGCAACCCTGAGCCTGATTATCCTACTCCTTTCCGATCTGACAGACCCGTGATTCAAAAGCATAACACAGAGCCTTGTTATTCATCACCCTTCCAAGCGGACGAGACTGTGACCCAGAGACGTAGCTTAGTATTCAAATGTCCACCACCCATCCGCCCGGTAAAGTCACGCCCCTGCAGAAGGACAGTCCATAGTAAAACTAAAGAGGGATGAAACATTCAGTCTCAACTGAATTCCACCTCCGTGGTGGCTCGCGTGCGGTTCCGGATAACTTATATGGCAGCCATCGGTAGGACATGAGAAGAGCAGCGTCCGCATCCTGCAATACAAGTAACCTTACGCAAACACGAAGGAGGCTCAACACTAACAATAAACCAAACCACATCTGTAACTCTACTATCCACCTGAAGGATATCCTTAACTCCAACCCTAACTGGTAAGCCTGAGATGTACGGCCGTCTAAGCGGGGCATGGGAACAGGAGCTATCTACAGTACATGCACCTTTCTGTTAAATTCTGGGAAAAATGAGGTGTAGAATTAAAGTGTGGGGGGAGGGGGGTTAGAGTTAAGTTTATAGTTGAGATTAAAGTCAGAGTGGTGGTTAGGAGGAACATTATGTTAAAGATTGAGGTTCGGGTTCGTGGTAACAATAAGGATTAGGTGTCGGGTAGGGCTGTTGTTGAGATTTAAGTTAGAGTTTAGTTTTACGTTAGGGTTAGTGTTAAAACTAAGCCATGACAACATTAACCTCTCCCGAAATGTATAGAAAGGCCACTTATTTTAAGTGGCTGAGGCGTTCCTATTCTCACATCCCGTTTATACGGCTAAAAAATCATCCTTACCCCCTAACCGTAACTCGAACCTAAACGCTAACCCTAACGTTAACTCTGATCTCATTCCAAAAGTAACAACCCTACATCTATTTTCACCAGAATTTAGTACCAAGCCGCCTGCAGTGAGGGCGCTGCTTGTCCCGCCGCGGGAACCGGCGCGCAAGTGTCAGTCACTCTCTGATTGGTTAATCTTTCACCCAATGGCAAAGCAGAGCGTCTCGGGGAAGCGTTCAATTCCAAGTGGTTAAATCTGCGCAATTTAACTCTGGGCAAGTAGATTGCGAACGCATCAAGGGTGGTTCCTGTTCCCATCTCTTGTTGCGGGGACCATTTAAGTAATCCATACCCTTGTCTGTATGATTGAATATGGCAGCATTACCTCACTTCCGTCGCCAAACAGTCCGTCAAACAGGCGACACAGGCCAATAATGAGGCTGATTTCGCTGACAGGGATCAGTTTGTTGCAGCTGCGTTGCACAAACTCCAGGATTTTGGTGAGATCCTTGTTGAACAGCATCTTCAGTGTCTCGATCAGCACTTTACCGGTCTTTCCAGCTATCCAGCAGTTGACGTAGGGCCACCAGCCGAGTTCGTGAACATCGTTGTAGACCATGCCGGCTCGTGAGACCGTCGCCGGAGACGCCACAGCAAGGTCCTCTACCTCGAAGAGCAGCGACACCTGAGGAGGCAGAAAAAGGGATGAGATGCCTCATAAATCGTGTTAAGAGCCACAGAAAGGACTTCACTTGGCACGGAAACGTATGAAACACCAACGCCACTTCTTAAATAAATCTCTTCAAAACCGAACAAGATAACACTACAGAAGATATGGGGATGAGGTATTCGTGATTGTTGATCACATTAGAGAAGCTGAAGATTTGCTTTGTGTTATGAATAAACTGCACTATAAGATTCAACTCACAATGGAACTGGCATAGGATAACCAGCTGTCCTTCCTAGATGTTCACATGTTTAGACAAGAAGATGGCTCCATAACATGAACTGTTTTCCATAAGAATACGCAGAATAGACAGAAAGTGTCTCTCTTGAATTTTTTTCCCATGCAATGAAAAAGTAACTTGATATACATTCTTTTCTGGAAGGCAATATAAAGTTGCTCTGATGGAGACATTGAATGCAGAAATTGTTTGCCTCAATCGAAATACAATTTTTAAGAACGTCCCGTGTAGATCTGGAATATCATCTGCCGCTGCTTTTTAGTGTTTATCCAGCTTTTTTCGCCTACGTATGTATCGAAATAAAGGCATCCTAAGATACTTAATAATAAGGAGAAGAAATTCCTTGGGGAAATGGAAACTTGAATGTGTAAATTTCCGAGACTGAACCCCCAGCTCGTCGTCAGACTGCAGAATTAGTACAGAAACAATCAAGTAAAATAACCGTATTTAATTAAGGATTCTAAGGTTACATTACGTGCAGCTTGTCATTCCACCATGATTGGTTGTGAGCGTTTAACTGGATTTCCGATCTCATGAAACGTCAACCGAAATTCTGCAATGCGTTTTCAATCCGAAGTTAGTACTTAAGCAGGTTTGGATTATTAAATATCACGTGGCCTAATCTCCAGATATTTCAATCACGGTAGGCTGCCGGTTTTTTATGACCGTCTTTGTACCACCTGTAAATATCTGCCCTGAAAAAATGTTGAATTCTTTCATATCTCCGAACGTTAGCTAGCTAATAAGTGACGAGTTTTGCCGTGCGCGGTATGATTTATTATACCATGCCAAGGTGTTTGGAAAGGTAATTTGTCTCAAGGCTTCGATGATAGCAAAATAAAAGACCCCCTGGCTCTTTGTGTAATTGCAGGAAGTATTACCGGATCAGGCATTGAAATGCGTTCTCCGTTGATAAGAGTCAGGATCTTGTTATCATCCATGACCGAGTTCATGCTCTCTATCCACAAGGCATCAACCGGTCCGTCAAAGATGATCCACTTGTACTCAGGCCTTTCATCTAAAATACAGCAAGATATGACACAGTATTTTAGAAAATAAAAAACCGGCGGATTAAAAGGCTGGGGATTATGATCCATCGTTTACGCACTTGAGAAGTTTTACCCATCTCGGTCAGGACATCGTAGCTCAGAACGTTAGCGCACTGGCTATACTCATGCTATCGTGGGTTAGGATCCCTAAGAGGCCATCAATTTCTTTTTCAATTGGGTATGCATTTAGAGGAAAAATGGAGATTGGATAGACAATGCCGGGTCGATTGACTGCCTTTTAACTGCTTCCCCTCGGCTCATTGTGTTGATAACGAGTAGTGAAAAAACACTATTTTTAATGGATCCAGAAACCCGGTATGGGATCGGCAAGGCCTTAGTTTAGAACATAGGGTCCAATGCATGAACGGATCACTTGTAAACGTAAAATAAAGAGATACTCTCATTCCAAAGGACTAGGGGTTATCAGGATAGGGTAGAAAGTGCCACTGGTTTTAGTAGATTAAGCTTCGCTCTCTGTATGTAGGCTACTGCTAAGCTGCGCGGTATTTGATTTGTACATGCACGGTGGGCACTCAGAAGGCCTTCCGAGATCGACTGCGTGTACTACAGGGTGCGCCACGAAAAACCCCTAAATTTATGATAATGTTTATACTGTTATAAAAATAAA